GCTCAGGCTCCTTCCATCCTCCTTAAATTAAAAAAAGAGCTGAACCTTGATACAAGAGGAATGCTGTTGTGCTCAGTGCTGCAGAAAATGGAGTAGAATCCAGCAAGAAGGGAAATACCACTGTGCCAACAATCTCTGGTGTGCCAGTGAGAACCAGGTGTTGCTCACCTCAGAGTGTTCTGTTCAGTACTTCAAGCACAGCTTGGAGTGTTTGAACTGTTGAAGTGTGTAATTTACTGAAGTGTTTATTTCAATTTGATGCTTTGGGCAGTGCAGTGCAGCAGTTTTAGGGTCACCACATGTCCTGTGTGGTGGCTCTGGAGGGAGGGATGAGCTTCTGGAGCCAGTGACCATCAGCCAGGCAGTTCCTGCTGGCCATGGGATTGAGCTCATCTTCCCAGCCTGATTTAACAGCAGTGGGTCAACGTGGGGTGGGAACATTCCTGAACATCACCTGGAGCAGCAAGATGTGGATACTAAACCCTGTGTCCTCTCCTTCTTGGCACAGCTGGTGAAGGGGCTGCAGCAGGAGCTGAACCGCCTCTACTCCCTGTTCTGCTCCCGGAACCCCGAGTTCGAGGAGAAGGGAGGGAAGGTCTCCATCGTGTCCCACTCCCTGGGCTGTGTCATCACCTACGACATCATGACTGGCTGGAATCCAGTCAGGCTCTATGAGCAGCTGCTGCAGAAGGAGGAGGAGGAGCTGGAGGAGAGTTGGATGAGCTACGAGGAGCGGCGTCTGCTGGAGGAGCTTTACCTGACCAAGCAACGGTAATGCCCCCTCTGCCAGGGATCAGGGGAGATAACACAGCCCTGGAGAGCACCCTCTGGGTGTTTCCAGAGCCCTCCAGGGCTGTTATCTTTGGTGGTTGGTGTTCTTCTGCTGGGGCTGGGTGATAATGCTAAACACAGCACTGGGAGCTCTGAATCCACACTGGCCCATGGAGCGGTTTGGGTTGGAAGGGACCTTCAAGATCATCCAGCTCCAACCCCCTGCCATGGCCAGGGACACCTTCCACTATCCCAGGTTGCTCCCAAGCCTCATCCAACCTGGCCTTGGACACTTCCAGGGCTGGGGATGCTGTGGTGCTGTGAGACACCCATTGGAGAACCTAAAATTAGCATCCTCAGTCGTTCAAGTGGGAGATGACAAATGATGAATCACAGGCTTTGGTTCCTGCCTGAAACCAATCTGAGTATTGGTGGTTCTTGGGAAGCATTAATTTAGCAGCAGCCCTGCTGTGGTGGCAGTCAGGATGTGTCTCACCAGGGATGGGTGCAGGATGTCTCTGTCAGCTGCAGGGCTGGACTCAGTGCAGGATTTCTGAGAAAAAGGAAGTTTAGAAACCTAATGAAGTGTTGTAGTGATAAGATGACCCTTCAGGCCTGTCACAAACATATAATCAGGGAGAAATGGCCACTTTCACACTCTGCTCCAGCTCCTTAGGCATCTCCTGAAGTGCTTCCACAGAATCCCACGTGTCATTTGACACTGGCACTTCTGCACAGAGTGAGTGGCTGTCCCTTCAGTGTGAAATGATGGGAAATAGACTCCTGACATCCTGTAACTTCTAGAATTCACTGGCACTGGGAACAGTTCTACCCATCCATATGTGTGCTTCACATTGTAGCTGCTTTTTAATTCAGGCCAGCTAGAAAAGCAGGTGAACAAGCTTTTTTTCATGGGGGTTTAAAGGGTGGAACACCATCCTCCAGAAATTCCACCTCCATACAGAACTCCATAATGCCCAGACCATTTCCTGGGGCTTTGTTGTTATTTTGGGGGGTTTAAAACAAAATAAAGCAGGTGATTTGGCTGCAAAATCACCAAGGAAACAGGAGGTGAGTCAGCTGCTCCTGAGGAAGCAGGGTGGGCACAGGCTTGGGGTGGTGAGCAGGGGAATTGTCATGTGTGGATTGATTCCTTCTGTGGCCAGAGAAACAGGAATTGACAGACATTGATTGTTGATGAGTTGAGCTGCTCCAGGAAATACTGACACCATCCCTCTCTCTTCCCAGCAGACAAAACTGTTGGACCCCACAGGAATGCCTGTTTGGATCAGAGAGGTTAAAGCTGCATTTTTTATTGGATCTCAGAAAGATCTCTATTTTCTAGGTTGAGAGAGATAGAAGAGAGGTTACATGAGTTAAAGGCATCCACCATATCAAAACCACCTGTCTTAAAATTTAAGGTATGTATGTTTTAAGAGGTTTCTGCTGAATTTTTCTGCTTGCTGTAAAAATACACCTGCAGCGTGAGTTATTCTGCTTACTTTTATTTTTTCCCATGACCCTAGACACGATTTTGGCAGAATAATTTGGATGTTGGATAAAGTGTGTGTACATATATGTAAAAATTTTGTTGTATTCATAGATTATGGTTATTTATTGCAATGCTGTATTTGTAATAAATTTTGAGCAACCTGGTCTGGTAGTGGGAGATGTCCCTGCCCATAGCAAGGGGTTGGAATGAGCTGAGCTTTAAAAGGTCCCTTCCAACCCAAACCATTCTGGGATTCTGTTATATATGTTTATATTAAATTATATGTAAATATATATGTGAATATATAGATTACAAATAATTTTGATACTTAAACCTAGTTATTATACACACACACACAATTCTGTGGGAAGGTAAAAACCATTTGGCAGATTACATCAATCACATATTTTAAAGAGTTTCACTTCTACTCCATTGAATAATCCATCTTCCTTGGGGACTCCTTCTAGCATGTCACATCTCTGAGCAAATCTGATTGAATTTCCTCCAGGAGTGGATTTTCCTTCCAAATGATTCTGCTCTGACAGTTAGCACTCTTTCAATCTCATGAAGCAGCTTGCTTGCTAATCAGCTGTACAAATTGCTAGAATTCCTTATCTTTGGGAAAAGGCATTTTCCAGCTCCTGGGTGGGATGTGCAACACTCACCAGTTGCTCAACTCCATCCTGAAGTATTAAACCATAAAAATGTGACATGATAGATGAGAATTAAGTGGATTATTGTTTCTTAACTTGCCATTTTTCTTTCCTTATGAGTTCAGAAGGGCTCCTGGAAGCCAAGGTCAATGTTGAGCCATAAAAAAAAGAGGAAACCAGCCATAATTCATGTTGTCACAGCCTTCTTCTTTTCATCAGTGCTTGAAAGCATGTGTCAGGCTATTATCTCTCCCATCAAGGAAGCTGGAGTCAGGCTGGTCCTCCCCCAGCTCTGGGAAGGATTATTCTTCACTCACTTGGTTTTAAACTGAAGAGTTTTTGGACAGTTGATTTTTAGATGGAGAGGAGGAAAAAATGGGGAAGGAACTTTAGATAAAGAGGACTTTATCTACCTAAACTGATAAGCTAGATCTGTAATCTTCAGGCAGCATTTCCAGTGCAGTTCATCCTTTTTCTCGCCCTTCCTGACAGGGAGGTGTTTTGTTTCTGTGAGGTTTCAGACTGGTGACTCCATGGCTTGAGGCAGAGCTCCAGAGGGAGAAGCTTTCCAAGGAAATGATGGCAAGGGAGGATTTCAACAGAGCAGCTGGAACAGGATTGCTCATCAGCAGGGCAGTCCAGCTCACTGAGCGTGGCTGGCTTGTTGAGAGAGAACAGCCTGGTTCAGAAACCACCCACCCATCCCTTGGCTCTTCCATGGACTGAAAAAAAATATCAGGGTTCCCAGGATGGGACAGAGTCACTGGTGCCACATGAAGGAGAGTTGTGCTTGATGTTGAGCAAACACAAAGTTGCTTTTGGCAAGACAAATGCAGGAAGAAAAACAGCAGTTTGCTTGGTTCATGCTTAATACTAGAGAAAATGAAGGTATTGACTCCACAGGGAGAAAAAAACCCACAAAACATTAAGATATGGGGTGTGTTGTTTTCTAATAAAATATTGGGCAAGCCACAAGAGTGGGAACTTGAGGGAGAGGGATCTTTTGTTTCTCTTTCTCTGCTTCTCCTCAGATGGGATAATGGAATTGCCTGCTGGACCAACAGGAGCAGTGGGAGTTTAAACCAACACCTGTTGTAAATTTAAGATTTAGAATCACAGTCTTCTCCCCACCAGCCTTGGAAGAGGAGCTGGAGTTAAAGGGTGAGGGGCTGAAGATCATAGGAACATGGGGCATGGTGTGACACCAGCCCCTGCATGCCTCTGGTGTATGAAAATTGGGAATTTTTTATTTAGGATGAATTCCAGTCATGGTAGGGAAGAGAAGAGAAGAGCAGGATGTGCCTCAGTTGCTCCTTAGGGCTGCCATGGAAATGCATTTAAATCTGGCCTTGCAATGTCCTGGCCCAAAAGACTTCAGGGTTCCTCAGCACCTCTCACTCAGCCAGGGCTGGTGGAAGGTCCAGCCTGTACCTCGTGTTCTTTGTGCCCAGCACTAAAGGGCTCTGCTGCCTCACTTCTCTTGACTCATTCAGCTTTTTTTTCCTTCATCTAATTATGAAAATACTGCAGTGCTAACTTGAATGGATGATTGCTTGGCTCAGCTTCTGCTTAAAATACAAATAAATTCATTAAGCCTTCTGTTTATGAATCATAACCAGGAGAGGAGTTCTCTCAAAGGTCATTTCATAAACACATCTCCTGTGTTGTTAACATTTACAGGAAAATGCCCCACTCCTGATTGCAGGAGAAACAACCACAATTAATAAATATTTTCTAGAAAGATTTTGATCTTTTATTCCCACTAGGTTTTATAATACAGCAGCCTGATCTTCGGCCACCTTGCAACAGCACTGACAGTCTAATGGCTGCAGATTAAAGGATTTGGGGTAAAGAATCATAGAATTAAGGTTGGAGAAGACCTGTCCACCTCCAAACCATGTCCCCAAGGGCCACATCCACATCAAAACCCTACAGGGATGGGGACTCCAGCACTGTTTATCAATAGAAATGATGGGACAACCTTGGGACAAAAGCCACACGCCTTGTGACCACTGAAGCCAGTTACCTTTGGAGGGTTTTCCCAGTCCCTTTTGAGTGTCCTCTGCTGAGTGCAACCTGGCAGGCACTGTCTGATTCCTCCCTAAAGCAGAAAAACCATAATTGTGCCTTTCAGGTGCTTGACACAGGGATATCAGATGGACAGGGTTGGAGGTTACTTATTCAATTTAAAGGATTGCACTGGGAATGTCTCTTTCTGCTGTGTTTGAAGATAAAAAAGCTTTTTGTCCAAGCTGCCAACACACAAGATCTGTGTGAAACTTGGGCTGAGGAAAGGAGAGGAGCTTTGAAGAAAGGAAAGGAGCTTTGCATCAAGTGACAGTTTAATGACAGAGCAGTGCTGTGCAGCATGTGACATGGAATAACCATGCTGAAGGTCGAGTTTTTACTTTTTCCATCAAGTTGGGACTTCTCTTGGAAGGAAGAGGGGTGGTACCAGTGCCAAGACAGAGGAGGAGGAATGTTTTGTGCAGCACTGGAATCCAAGAGATGAAAGGGACCATTATTCCCCCTGCCCTCATTCCATGTGCTGACATACAGGGAAGGCACGTGGCATCCCAAGGATCCTCCACGTGCATTTAGCAAGAATTCAGCAATTTCTCTCGCTGGCTGAGCATTTGACAATGGTAAAATTAATTTTTCAAGTAAGAAAATAAAGTCTGAAAGGTCATTTTGATTTAGGGAAATGTCTTTTACCACTGAGTTTTCCATTTGATGGTTTTAGGAGGTGATGCCTGAGGGTTGGTAGTGGGGTGTCAGAGTTGTGGTTGGTTGTAATGACCCCAAAATGCTGGTTCAGTGACTTCTCAGATGTGGCAGCTCAGATTTACTCAGTTGGTGTTGGAGGCAGGAGTTGAGAGCGAGGTCACAGCAGCTTTGGGTGACATCAGAGGGTCCCAGTGGCTGTTCCTGCTCCTGGGACATGGTGGCTCTGGGGACAAGCACCACTCTGTTCACTTAGCACCAGCTGTGTGTAGCAAGAAAATCATGGAGAACTTGGTTAGGAACAGAATGAGGAGGACTGGGAGGTCTGGGAAGCTCCAGGAGAAATCAGACTCAATTCACTGGGTTGGAAGAGACCTTCAGGATCCTGGAGTCCAGCCCAGCCCCAGCAGCTCAACTCAGCCTGGCACCCAGTGCCACATCCAGGCTTTGTTTTTCCTTTCGTGTCTCCAAAGTCTTCTTGCTCCATCCTTTCCAGTGCTGGTGGACCTCTCTGAGTTCAAATATCCAACTTGATTTTTGCTTTTAGCACCCCAACAGGCAGCCAAGGGCAGTTTAACCCTCATTCATTGATGTTATGTTGTTCTACCCTGTTTGGACCAACCAACACTTTGAGTCCCTCTACTGAAACCAAGAAATGGAGAGAGAAACCAAATGCAGTGTCAGGAAACATCAATTCCATCCTTATGAAATCTCTCCCCAGGTTGAGAATTTCTTCTGTATGGGATCCCCCCTGGCCGTGTTCCTGGCCCTGCGTGGGATCCGTCCCGGCACCAGCGGCAGCCAGGACCACATCCTGCCCAGAGCCATCTGCAACCGCCTGCTGAACATCTTCCACCCCACAGATCCAGTGGTGAGTCTCTCACTGCCCTCCCAAGCCTCTGCCTTGCTGGTTTTAAGCTCTGGGATAACGTGGGACCTTCAAAGTGTGTGACTCAACACGAGTGTGTTCCAGCACAGGATTATTTGTTCATGGTTGTTATGCAATGGCTTGGGGTTTGGAACTGTAGAATTACATTTCCTACAAGTAATTGCCATAAATAACATATATTTTGCTTCTCTTTTCATAGTAATAAGCATAAGATTTTGGCTTATTCTGATTTTTTTTCCCCCAAAGAAATAATCCTTTTTTAGACAAGGATTTTGTGTTTTACTTCCTGGCTTCCATTAAAATATGTATTTTTGCTGTTTAAAAAGGCTTCACGAGCAGTTTACAAGATAATATAGAAAACCAAAGACTGATTTCTTTTTTTCCCTAAGGATCCTACGAGTAAAAGTTTGTTGATAGTATTTGGGAGAGGATTATTGGTGTAGCTTGCCTTTTCCTTTTTCCACAGCAGCCAATGTTGGCTGTTACCAAATTAGTTACTGGACCTTTGATCTGCATCCCCTTGGTAGTTTTTCTGATGCAAATTGGATAGGGAATTTCATCTACAACAGCAATTTGGGGATGCTTTCCTGTTTAAAGTAGCTGAATTTAAATATCTTCAGACTTCAATCCAAACATGGTCATGTACAATTCCAGCTATTCCAGAATTTTCCTGGATTATCAGGGACAATTGGTTCCACTCTGCAAATAGTAAGTTCACTCAGTTTTAAAATAAAGAAATGCAAGATGCTTTTCTACATCTAAGTGGACAAAGATAAATAAATAATAATAGGAAAATATTTTTAAAGTAAACATAACTCACGGTTTGCGCAGGGATCAACAAAGAGCCATCAAACAAAATGTTTACACAGCCAATTCCTGTTTATTGTGTTAGAATCAGCTTAACTTCACATGAAGTTTGTTCTCTCAGTGAAGCCATCTGTTAGGAACCTGTGTGTTGGTAACAACATGTAGTACAAGTGTTGTAATGCAGGTGTTGCAGAGATGTGCAAAAGTGAGCTCACAGGCAGCTGTGCAGCTGATAAATCTTCCAGGCTGTGAAACTGTGGTGGTTTCTGGGGTCCCCATTGAAGGAGGGAAATTGATGAATCTGACTCCATGTTCTTAGGAGGCTAATTTATTATTTTGTGATCTTATATTATATTAAAGAATGCCATACTAAACTATACTAAAGAATAGAGAAAGGATACAGACAAAAGGCTACAAAGAACGATAATGAAAACTCGTGACTCCTTCCAGAGTCCTGACACAGCCTGACCCTGATTGGTCATTAAGTCAAAACAATTCACATGAAACCAATCAAACCTGTTGATAAACAATGTCCAAACACATTCCAAAGCAGCCAAACACAGCAGAAGCAAATCAGATAATTATTGCTTTCATTTTTCTCTGAGGCTTCTCAGCTTCCTAGGAGAGAAATCCTGGCGAAGGGATTTTTCCAGAAAATATGGCAGTGATAGTGAAACTAAAAGGGGTTACACATCACTGTGTCACCTCCTAGGCATTGTTTAGGAGAGGTATTCTGGATTTGAGGTGGGAGGGAGCTCTGGATGGGAAGGAAAACTGATTTTTTTTTCCCAGTCTGTCCTCCCAGGACTGATCTTCACCCCGAATTCCCTTTCCAGGCCTACAGATTAGAACCCTTAATCCTGAAACACTACAGCAACATCTCACCTGTGCAGATCCACTGGTACAACACAGCCAACCCCCTCCCCTACGAGCACATGAAGCCAAGTTTCCTGAACCCCAGCAAAGAAGCTACCTCAGCCCCGGAGAGCGAGAGCGCCTCGGCGGCGCCCAGCCCC